GGTTTGATCATTTTCGGGTCAAAACGGCACTGACTAGGCGCTCCCGTTAGCCACGTGCTGCACATAACGGACTCCATTAACGGAGTTGCAAGAAGACTAATGGAGAGTGACTAAAGATGACATGTTTTAGTAATTAGAGTGACCAAATTTGATATTAACTTTTTCTAGTGACTAAGCATGATACAATTTAGTGATTATAGTGACCAAATGTGGCATTAACCCTATAAGAATTAGTTTGTTCTTGAGGTGTCATGTTCAAATCATCACGCTTCTCAATAGTAATCGTTGTCTTTAAAACACATGATATGGTGAACCTGTTCAAAGTTCAAGTCCATGAGTTGGTTTTTGTTTGTGTGAGCGTCTGAGTGTGTAAGAAAGTTATTAAGTACCATATATAGACGTCTACCAACAACTCGAGTTATGTAGATCGATTGGTATATCACATAAGCTTCTTCCCCAAAGATGTCTAAGGGGTGGTTTGCTTGTTAGATTTGAAAAATGAGTATTTTTGGGGGGGAAACCTTTGAATTTAGGATGGATTTATCGTATTATGGATTTGAAAAGTTTGTAGTTTGCATGATAGTTAGATTTGATGATATATTTATGATGGATTTGTTACATATATGACTAGTCATTAATGATTTACAAATCACAACCCAATATGTAGGCTTTACAAGTCTGATAAATTTGGATCCAAAATAGAGACTAAATACACCCTTCAATAAACAATAAACTTGGATTAAATCCAATAAATTTAAATTTTGGGTACGAATTTCATTACTCAAATCCAACAAGCAAACTAACTTTAAGTGTTGCAAGTTCAAATTCTTTTCATACCGTTTGTTATAAATGAATTCCATAAGTTTTGAGGAATTCATTTTGAAATGAAATCTTTTTGTGTTTGGTATTTGAAAGAATTCATTTTCAATTCTAAATTTTGAATTCTACAGAATTGGAACTAGTTATAGCAATTCCGAAAAATTGAGATGAAATTTTCAAATAAATTCCACAAGTATTTACTATTTTTAATAGACTGATATAATTATCCTATTTTATGAACTAAATTGCTTATACATATGACATACCAAACACAGGAATTCATTTGACAATGAATTCTACACGACAATTTATTTTATATCTAAAGATTTGAATATGACATACCAAACACAAAATTTCATTTGAGAATGAATTCTACACGATAATTCATTTTACAATGTAATGAATTCTTGATTCATTTGTTACCAAACAATCGGTTATTTTTCGAACTTTAATAAATTACTCGATACTCTCATATGAAACTGCGATTTTAATGATGATGATAAAGAAATATGGATCCAAATTCATATTAAGTGACAACCCTCCAAGGAAAACCCTGCTAAACATGTCCGTACGTATGAATTCGGGTGGGGTTTTTATCCAGGATTTGACCCGGAAACAAACCTATCCAAATTCCTGAAAGAAAAAAAGCCCAAGTTTGCCCCGTTACCCGGGATTATTATGGACACGGAAGCAGCGGATAAATCGACGACGTGTTCAAACAAAAAAGTGCTTATCCATAAATTAGCACCAAACTATCAATTCATAAAGTACGTCTTAATAACGATTAACCACATAAACTGAACATGGCTCAGCCCAGTTTTGGTAATGCTGACGCAGCTCCTACTAAACTACCATTTCCTTGAGATCCTTTGAAACGAGTTTCACTATTTCGTGATTGTCATGAGCAGCGGCGAATCCAAGTCTAGATCATTGGCCACATATAAAATGAGAAGCGAGTACTGGATCGTAACTTGACGAGCACTGAAATGAATATCTAAACTCGAACATTTATAAGTGCTATACTAGCTTTGGATCCAAAGGAGGGTTGAGCCGTGACTCGGGGCGGCCCCCTAGATCCGTTGCTGGTCATGAGTACGTAATTTTATTCCCAACATAAGGCTGAGTCCAATGGGTTCAGCAAATATGGGGAATTCCCATCTCCAGCAGGACTCTTTATTTGGGGGCTTACTGACACCATTTTTGTCGAAAATCGGCAAATGGATCGCTATTTTTGGTGAACGTTTTGGCGATTCCCGGGAACGCCCATCCCCTTTTTTATTTAAATTAATGGTTGCTTTGTGTTAAATTTGGGGATAACTGTGTGATAATTTGTGGGATAATTTGAGGTTAAATTTGGGGTTAATTGTGAAATTAATGGTTGTGTTAAATATGATATTTTTGTTTATCATTTGAACTATTATGTGAACTCCTTCAGCTTTATCATTTGAAAGTGTTGTGTAAACTCAAATTAGGTCAATTATTTTTTGCAAAAAACAATTCGGTGTCGGGATTTAAAAACATTCTATAAAAAAATTGTATTTAAAATGATAACGAACTATACAAAAATTAACATGAACAAATTATATTAAGACTTCCATAAGTATATTTTTAAGTAAATGGAAAACTGGAAAAAAAAAAACAGAAATCCCCAAATTTGGAGAATGTATCATTGGAGCAAACAAGGTGAAAATGAGGATGATCCCCAAATTTGGGGACTTGCATTGAAGTTGGCCTAACTCTTCTTGTTCCCTATTGCCTATGTTTGGTCCGCCTTTTAGAAGTGTTTTTCTACTCTAAAAGTTCAAGTCAGGGCAAACACCTCTAAAAGCTCGGTTTTAGAAAAGCTGAAAAGTATTTTTGTATAACATAAAAACAAAAGCTCTGGATCAGAGCTTCTGCAAAAAACTCTTTTGAAAATACAAAATTATCTTTACCATATTTTAATTCTATTTTGGACAATATAATTTTCTTTCATTATATCATTTTAAAAATAAAATAAATTCAAAAATAAAATTATTTAATATAAAAGAAATCAAACAAGATCCATTATGATTACTTTTTATTTTTTTAAAATTTTATTCATATGATATATTAGAAATCCTTTTTATTAATCTTACATGAGCACTTATATTAAAAATCACTTCTAATAATTTTTCAGCCAAACGCTCAACTGCTTTTTTTTTAAGTATTTCTCTTAAAGCTCAAGCCAAAAGCTACTTCGGCAAAAGTTACAGCAGAGCCAAACTAGCCCATTGTTGTCTCTCTATGGTTGTTTAAAACTTTTATTTTACATACATAATCTCCTGTACTATAATATATCAGTAACTAGAGCGCTGCGGTGGATCCAAAATAGGGTAGAGAACTGGGCCACATTTGCAAAGATGCGCAAAGGACTAGGTCGTAACCCGATGAGTACTGAAACGAATACCTAAAATAAAAAATTTACAAGTGCTATAGCGGCCTCATGGATCCGCCACTACTATAGCGCCAGAGGAGGGTTGAGCCATGGCCCGGAACGGCCTCATGGATCCGCCACTACTATAGCGCCTGAGTGTAGATTAATGAGAGTGCTCCAACTTTCTAAAAGATCGCTTTCGATAACCGAATAGGTGAAATTATGGGTGGGCATTCGTTCGTTTCGGTTTGAACCGAACTGAAAAGATGCATACTGGTATTCCAATTCCAGTCAAAGGCCAAACTGATTCCGACCATAATTATATTTTGGTTTGGTTTGATCGAACCAAAATATTACTCAATTCGGAACAGAAAACCCAAATTATGATCTTCTCTCGCTCTCTTTATTTCTTCTTTTCGCTGACAAAAGACACCACCACGAAACCTAATTTGTTTCTCTTCCTCCTCAAACCTCTCTCACTTTCTCCTCTTTCTTCCCTCTCCGCCGCAACATCAGAGACAGAGATCTGGCTCCATCAGTAGCCGACGGCTGCCTCGGAGAGTCCCTTCCTCTCCATTTGGTATCGGGATGTGCTCTATTCCCTGCGTCGCCAAAGTCGTGCTCCGCTCTTTCGTAGAGCGAGTGGAATTGGGTTGTTAGTTGTATGTGTGTGAGAGTGGAATCTGGTTCCAATAATCTTTGTTCGAAACACCTGATTCCAAAAATCCTATTTCAACATTAATATCTTTGGATTTAATTCCCCCTAGATAGATAAGGCAAAAAATCGATAACAGGCGCTGGGAGTATTTTTGTCTCAAAGTGATTTAATTCAATAGAGTCTTGAGTTTGTGATTTAATTTGATTTGATTAATATCTTCAAGTCACGGAAATTCAAACCCATCCCTCTGTTCCTCACTTTCTTTTACACTCTGTTTGGGAACCTAGTGCAAATGGTGGGGTGCATAATTGAGGGGTAAGCACAGAAATCGAAATATTTACCCCCATTTGGTTCTTTTATAACAGTGGCAGGCGGGTGCATGGTTGTGGTAAATCTACTGTTTGGGTAAGCCCCCAAATTGGGGCGTAAAACATTGTGGGGAGATATATTTTATTTTTTCATTTCTTAATTAGTCCTTCTTGATGTTGTCCCACACACACGGTGAGAGAGAAAGGGCCCACGCCCACTTGGAGAGATGAGGAAAGAAAATGAAATCAGATAGACGGTGAGAAAGTGTAAAAGAAAATAAATAATGTTATTAAAATAATTTAATATTTTTTTAATATAAAATTATCATTAATATATTTTGATTTCCCAATTGCACCCTCCTACTTTGATGGCTCCCGTTCGTTTATTTCCGTTCATTTGATGGCTCCCGTACTAAACGCATATAAAACTCGTATAACACGTTTGATATCCGTATTTAATGAATTAAATTGTTCAAATTAATATTATTTATATATTTATTTAATTTTACAATAATTATTTTTTTATATATTTATGACTGTTAAACGTAAAATTCGGTTAGTGACGAAGTAAAATATCCGTACGTATTTTATACACAACTTTCCCTTACCGTATTTTACTACCTATGTATAATACAACATTCATATTATTATATGTACTCTTTATATATAATAATCTAAAACTCTTTTTTACATCATTTTGCACCCCCTACTTTTTCATCCAAACAACAATTTACCCCTTTACTTGCACCCCCAACAATTTGCACCCTCCAACTATTTGCACCCCCTTGTTGCCAAACAAAGCGTTATTATCTATCCTCTTCTCCTCCCAGTCCCAGCCTGTTTGGTAGCAGTTGGATTGAAAGACGGAAAAGGAAAACACTAACAAATCCAACTCAGCCCAACGCCGTCATCCTCCCCACACCCAATATAAACACCACCATTCCCAAGTCCCATCCCCATGAAAGTTCTACCCTTCACTCCATCTCCCCAATATAAACCCCAACCGGAAAATGAGATCCACGGCCACATTCGACCCCCATTAACCCAAATCCCACTTTCTATTTCTCCCCCTTTCTCACATGGCGCCCGACACTCCTTTGCTCGACCCGCCGCCTTCCTCAACCCGCCGGCGACACGGCCTTATCAAGCAATGCGGCCTAATACTGCCCTCTCTCGTCATTTTCTCAGTGGGTCTCCTAACATTGGCGGGCCACCGGAGCCAGCAGTCTCTATCCATCTCCGCTGGCGTTGCCCACCACCAAGCGCCGGCGCCGGCGCCGGCGAGAGGACTGAGGGAAGGGGTTTCAGCGAAGTCCATCCCCGGGAACCTGGATGAAGAAGGAGTTTCGTATAATTGGACCAACGCCATGTTCGCCTGGCAGAGAACTGCCTACCACTTCCAGCCACAGCGAAATTGGATGAATGGTAGGTGTGCTCTATTTCTCCATCATCTCGCCCCTCTTTCCACTATTCAATTTCCCCATTAATTAATTACCAGTACTTTCATAGCTTAGCTGCTCCAAAAGAAAGGGAAGGAAGGAAGAAGAAATTTTGCTATTGGTCAATTCTTAGAGAGAGGTTGGTGTTCCCTGCGGGGAATGAACTGTACTGTACTGTACTCATTACTCATATCAATTAGTGTTTGTTTTTTTGTCTTCTTATGCTGTTGGATTCAACGGCTGGGATTGAACAACTCGGTGTCCTTCTTCAGATCCTGACGGTACGTACCATCCCGTACTCTTTTGCTTATTGTTTTCTTATTTTGATTCACACGATTTCTGAAATTGTTATGGGCTTGGTGGATTTTGGGCTGGGCTGGGTTTGCAGGCCCAATGTATCACAAAGGATGGTACCACATCTTCTACCAGTACAACCCGTACTCCGCCGTCTGGGGCAACATCACGTGGGGTCATGCCGTCTCCCGCGACTTAATCCACTGGCTCATCCTCCCGTTAGCCCTAATCCCCGACAACTGGTACGACATTAACGGCGTCTGGACGGGTTCCGCCACCCGCCACCCGGAGGACGGCAACATCTACATGCTCTACACCGGCAGCACAGGGAATCTCACTCAAGTCCAAAACCTCGCCCACCCGGCCGACCTCGCCGACCCGCTCCTGCTCCGCTGGGTGAAAAGCCCTGCCAACCCGATCCTCCTCCCGCCGCCGGGAATCGGGCCCAAGGATTTTCGCGACCCGACGACCGCGTGGCTGGGCCCGGATGGGCTGTGGCGGGTCGCGATTGGGTCCAGGGTCGAGAAGTTGGGCCTCACGCTCGTTTACAAGACGGACGATTTTGTTAGTTACGAGCTGCTGGATCATTACCTGCACTCGGTTCCGGGTACGGGTATGTGGGAGTGCGTGGACTTTTACCCGGTTCTGGTCAACGGGACGAAGGGGCTGGACACGTCGGCGGTCGGGGAAGGGATCAAGCATGTGTTGAAGGCGAGCTTGGACGATACCAAGTTGGATCACTTCGCCGTCGGGACGTATGACCCGGTGAAGGATTTGTGGACGCCCGATGACCCGGAGAGCGATGTGGGAATCGGGTTGAAGTACGATTACGGGCGGTATTATGCTTCCAAGACGTTTTACGATGAGGAGAAGCAGAGGAGAATACTTTGGGGTTGGATCAATGAGACTGATACGGAATTCGATGACCTCAAGAAGGGCTGGGCTTCCCTCCAGGTAATTTTATAATTTACCCTCCTCCTCGGGTTAATGTGATTTAGACGCAGTAATTTAACTACATTGAAAAATGGGGGTTGAGAATGCAGACGATTCCGAGGACGGTGGTGCTGGATAGCAAGACGGGAAGGGATTTACTGCAATGGCCGGTGGAGGAGATTGAAAGCTTGAGGCTGAATTTTTTCTGTTTTGACGAGGTTTTGGTGGGTCCCGGTTCGGTTGTGCCGCTACACATAGGCTCTGCTACGCAGGTTTGATTTGTTTACTGAATGATGAATGGAAGCCGGCGATTTGGTCGTTTGATTGTAGAATTTTGCTTACATTGCATTGCAGCTGGATATAACGGCGGAGTTTGAGGTGGAGTTGATATCAGGGAAGAAACCCGGCGAGGAGAACCGTTGTGACGGCGGTGCAGCGGAGAGAAGCAGCTTGGGACCGTTTGGGATTCTAGCTCTGGCCGATGCTTCACTCTCCGAGCTCACCCCTGTTTTCTTCCGGCCAGTTCAGACTACCCTCGACACCGTCACGACTTACTTCTGTACAGATCAAACCAGGTTCAGTAACACTCACATTTCGATCGTTACAGTCGCGTTAACAATGATTTTGGACACGTTCGATTAGTCGAAGACGCGATTGTAACTCTGCAGCTCGGTTTTGTTGGTGATGCAGATCGTCGATGGCTCCCGAGGTGTTCAAGGTTGTGTACGGGAGCTCGATCCCGGTGGTGGGCGACGAGAAGCTGGAGATGAGAGTGTTGGTAGATCATTCCATCGTGGAGAGCTTTGGACAAGGAGGGAGGAGAGTGATATCCTCCAGAGTTTATCCCACCAGGGCCATCTATGGAGATGCTAGGCTCTTCTTGTTCAACAATGCCACGGATGTGAACGTGAAGGTGAAGCTCAAGATTTGGGAGATGAACTCTGCTTTCATTCGGCCATTCGCACTAGACCAATTGTGATTAACCTGATGTGGATTTTAGTGGTCGATCCCAACTATTGTTGTACTAATCTATACTATTACCTGCATATATACCTCCCTCGAGAAAGAGGTTTGATTACACTCATCGTTGGCTTTCCCTTTTACCTCATGACCATACGGACAGGATACATAATTTGCATCAGCTGTGGAGTGTTCTTCTCAAAGGAGTGCAATTTCTCAGGCCAATGTGCATTTGTATGTATTGTTTGTTGCTGGAAAAAAAAAATACAAAATTACATCTTTTGGTATTGTATCGGGAAAAAACCAAAAGTTTGGTTTTTGGAACGCATTTGATTGAGATAGATAATTCTAGCTTCTAGCATCAAATTATCTAGCAAATCTACCACTTACTATAACTTTGAAAGAGTATAAAATGTCATTTTGTCTATTATATCGACTAAACGACTATACCTGTATAGTTGGGACTTCATTTTTCTAAGCTGATTGAGGCGAAGAAGAAGAATGGGATTGGGCGTTTGTCAAGTACACGGGTTGGGTCGGGGGTTGAGTATGGATGGGTCGGAGGTAGGTAGTGATGGCAATTTGAACCCGTTTAGCAGGTATTGTCCGACATGATCCGTGATGGGTCAGTATTACTCGACCCGCAGTAACGCGGGATGATACATGTGTATCTACTTCCTACCCGCACTGCCCCCGTTCTTGGTCCATTCTATCTCAATTTTTTACAGTATCTACATATTTCTCCTATTTTGACTTATCTTCAACTACTTTAGAGTCGATCTTTCAACTTGTTAGACTTAATTACCCATTATATTATCACTATTTTTCATTCATAAAGTGTTTTCTCATTTGTTTTACGTAAAAAGTCAAAGTTGCGTTTATTTTTTCCAAATAACTTGTAAGAGTGGGCCGACCCATCCCGCCCTGTATCCGCATGGGGCGGGGCATAGGTATTAAGGTACCCGCCGCGACCCCACCCCATTGCCATCAATGGTGGGTTTGCTTATGCGACGGGTCTGATTTTTTGTTTTATATATAAAATTGGGTGACTAGGAATTTTCATTAATCTCATTAGAAAACATTAACTTGTAACCAAACTTTAATTATTGAGCTAATTTTGGTAGCCACAAATAAAATAATTTGAATGACAAACATAAGATATTTTAATAATTTCAATAACCAAACTTATGATTTACCTCATCTTTGATAAAATCTGGTCGGGCTAAGCCCACAAAACCTTAATACACACACGGCTTATATATTCATAAACATACATTATTAGGCCCAAAATCTCTCCCCTATTGTAAAGAAGCCCAAGCCCTACATCCTCCCTTTGTCTCTAATCTCTTTACTCTTTAGTCTTTACTCTTTACCCCTTCACTAAACAGAAACTAGTTTTTCTTTTTCTTTTTTACTTGATGGAAAAGTCACGAATAAATTGCATATATATATCGAGGTCCCTAATGTTCTCTTGTTTCCCAAAAACACCCCGACTGAAATAGAGAAAACCCCATCTCCGCATCAGCCTTAAACCATCGCTCACAGTTCTCTTTCTAGCTCGTCCATTCCGCGCAAGAATAGCTGGTAGCGGCGAGACGAGCAATCGCCGTAACTCGATCTTACCCTCCACCACCGCCATCTTCGTTTCTCGTCGTCGCTCTTCATAGGTAGACCTCTTGGCTCCAGCTTCAATTCCAATTTCTGCTTTTCGTTTCCAGTAGCTTCACTGATTCATTGGGTCGTGTATCGAGTCAGTCCCCGCCAGATCTCGTTCGATTCCTTCGTTGTTACGAATTTCTAGTTATTCTGATTACCAATGGATCGCTTGTAGGTTGAGCTTGTTTTCGTTTGCGATTTTGTGCCGCTGGTGATTTTATCGTACCTATTGATATCGTCAATTAGGGTTTGGGTTTTGGTTTTCAGCTGCCTTTGCGTCCCTGTTTGTTGATGGATTTCGTGGATCTCGACCCAGATCAGCTTGTTTCTTGCTGTATCTGCTATTTTAGGGACTGTGGTTTGAAGTTTTTTTCTTGTCATGGTTTCAGGTTTTAGTTTTTGGAAGCGATGGCGTCCAAATTGCATCAGTTGCAATCCAAGGCTTGCCAAGCGACTCAGTTCGTATCCAAGCATGGCACTACCTACTACAAGCAGTTATTGGAGCAGAACAAGCAGTACATTCAGCAACCTGCTACTGTTGAGAAGTGCGATGAATTGTCCAAGCAATTGCTCTACACTCGACTGGCCAGGTCTGCTTTTCTTCAGCCCTTGTTATTGTTGGCTTTCAATTGGGTTGATATTGTTCCAACTGCTGTTTCTTTCTGCTGGCAATAATAGGTTGTGAATCGATCAAATGTACGATGGTATTCTGATATTCTTTCGATAGACTTTTGGGTTTTAGGTAGTGCATTCTCCTAGTCGATTTATCTTCAACATCTTCCTGGTTTCAAGATAGGGTTGGGTTTGTTGTCTACTTAATGCCGTATAGATCTTCTCTTCTACTGTTCTTTTTATGGAACTCAATTCTCTACACAAGTTCCGTGAACTATCGTGCATGTGGTGCGGTCCCTTCTCTTCCAGTAGCTATGTTCCTTTTGTGTGCTTGAAATTTGTGTAATCCTTTGCTTCAGATGGAAACTATGTTGAATTCTTGGAATATGGTCGTGTAGATTTTGAATATCTTCTATCCTTTGCTAAGACATTGAATATTGTAATTTAAGATACTGCTGGTCACAAAAGGTAGAACTTATATAGCCTTCTTCCCGAAATTGACTATTACTGCCTGTTCTTGTGGACATTCTGTTAACTTCACTCTTACCAAATTTATCAATGGCTTGATGGTGGTGCTTTGAGATCAATGATTTGTTTGGTTCAAGCACTTAGATTTTTTGTTTGTCTGTTAATCAAATAGAAAATTAAAACCATTAAATTGCACTTTCCTGATATTTTTGGAGTACAGAACATCAGGGTTAATATTATCTGAAGTTGAAAATCTCGATTGGCATGTGAGTCGAAGGATAGAGCTCGCTAGACGAGAAACTAACCATTGTGTCTCAGCAATATTACATCAAATTAGCATTTGTCTAAGCTATCAGCTCATCACTTCATCCCCTATTGCTTACTTTGGTTAGGAGCTCAGTCAGTGTAAAATTGTAGGAACGGAATGAACTGATCTTAAGTTAACTCCATTGTGTGTCAAATGCGAGTACTTCAGTGAGGTTGGTGGATGTTGTTTATCTGTATATTTGACATGTGTTGGGTTTTCTCCTTGCAACAGCATCCCCGGGAGATATGAAGCATTCTGGAAGGAACTTGATTACGTGAAAAACCTATGGAAGAGGAGGCAGGAGCTGAAGGTCGAGGATACCGGCATTGCTGCGCTGTTTGGACTCGAGTGCTTCGCTTGGTATTGTGCTGGTGAGATCGTCGGGAGGGGATTCACCTTCACTGGCTACTACCCTTGAGAGAGATAATAACCCCACTCTGTAGGACGGTTTGTCCGGAGAGATAATAGCTTCAGTTGTCATCTGCGTGATTGGAACGAACTGCTGGCACTCTACTAGCAGATTTTTACTTTTTTCCTTCCCCTGCAAATTTTTTGAAATCCCTAAACATTAGTGGTTACTATTTGTGGCCCTCAATAATTTGCTAGGTCGAAGCTGATTTAGGAGTTCTGCTCGTTGGTTTCATTTATCTTGTTGGTAAAGATCAATACTGCTTCTCTCATGGAATGATCCATAAATTTCTCAGCTGTTTAGTTAACTTCAGTTCGACCCATCTTTGTAATCACCCTCTGCTGCGTTCGACTTTCCCCAGCTGAAATCCTTTGCCGGAACTTGGAATAGAGTTGAAATCCTTTATAGGCTCTTTATTGTAGGTCTCATTAGAATAGTCGTGATTAGTCAAAGATGAGATGTTCTGTGTGCGAATCCGTGTATTTGCAAATGGATGTTATTTGTCTCGATCACGAAACTTGACCAACCTGCCTAGACGTTCCATCTGATTTACTAGTGGCTTAGGAGCCCTATCCTACATTTAACCATCTTATGTACCGGTAATATATGTTGATTGTTGGGACAACTTTGGAGTATTGACCAATTCACCATCTGTTTCTCGCGTAAGTCATCTCATCTACACGGAAGGACCAGGGAATTTAGGAACGTACCAAATGGGCCCATGACCCAAGATTCCAGATTCTGACGACTAATCAAGTGTAGCAGGCAGCAGGGGTGTATGAGAAGTTCCAGATTCTGACGACGAATCAAGTGTAGCAGGCCGGAGGGGTGTATGAGAAGTTGAGAAAGGATCAGGTTTTCTAGGCACTTGACTAAGTCTTTTTTAAGAGCATCTTCATTGGAATTACATTTAGAATTACATTATGACATGACATTCATTTGCAATTGCATTGATTTTTTTTTTTTTGCATTACAGGAGGCTCGAAGTCGCAGAAAGCAGAAAACGGGGGCGGAGGGGAATTAAAAGCAGACGCAGGGGAGGTATTCACCACCTTCCTAGGAAACGTAATACCTCTCTGATCATCCTGCAGAAGGGGAAGTAACTCTTGCGGTGGAGATTCCAATTCATACATACCGTAGGGATAGACGAGACTGTGCTTCGAGAGCCACTCCGCGACTCTATTCCCTTCACGATATGTATGAACCAGTCTCACCACCCAATCCTGAGAGATCTTCCTCCTAATAGCCGATAAAATAGCCGCGTGAGGGTGGAAAGGATCGGTCCTGTTCTTCACTAGTTGAATGGCCAGCTGGGAATCTGACTCAATGATGAGGGTCCTGCTGCCAAGTTTCCAACCTAACCTCAGTCCATGGTAAATAGCCCAGAGTTCCGCCAAAATTGCCGCACAAGAACCCAAACTCGTCACAAATCCTCCAAGCCAGTTGCTGCTCGCGTCCCAGGCTGCCCCACCTGCTCCGGCCAGTCCCTGAGCTCCACCAACAGCTCCATCCACATTGATCTTTGTCCACTCTGCCGGCGGTGGGGTCCACCCTATCTGCGTTAGCGAACGGCTCGGAGTAGTGTTCCCTCTACCAATCATAATAGAAGGTGCATTCCAATCTTGAATCCACAAATTAGCCTTGATCTTGATAGCCTGCACGAGGGAAGGGGCCGGAAGAGTCTTGTTCAACCCTCGAAAGACTCCTTCGTTCCTATTTTTCCACAAGCACCAAAGTGCAATGCTGAAGAAAGCATCCCAAGGAAGCCCATTGGATGTCGAATCCTTGCTGGTAAGGTTTCGGTGCAACCAATCCTCCAAAGGCAGACTGAAGAACTCCTGTTGAGAATCTACAGAAACTGTGCAGTGCCAGAAGTAGGCTGCCGGCGGGCAATCACGGAAAATGTGATAGAGACTCTCAGTCTGGGTCGCACATCTGTAACAAGAGGCCTCCTGAGTCAGATGCCTTTGGGCTCTAAATTCATTTGAGCTCACCTTCCCCTGCGCAGTCAGCCAAATGAAACACCTAACACGCTCAGGAACAGGGAGCTGCCATATGGTCTTCCACCACTGCTGCTGGTCGCTCGAAGGTGCATTCTGCAGCAACAGGTACGCGCTCTTAGTAGAGAACCGGCCATTCGACGTCTGTCTCCAGAAAAGCTTGTCGTCTTCTGTCGCCAAGGGGTCAATAGCATGGGCTGTAATCTTCTGTTGTATCTCCAGCGAAAGTCTGGTCCCGAACTTCTCGACTCTCCAATTTCCATCATCATCAACGAAATCAGACACCGACAGTTGGCGCTCCTCCTCCGAGATCATCTCCGTAGCTACCTCGTAAAGCGGAACCTGCAAGATCCACGGATCATACCAAAATTTAGTCTGGTTTCCTCTATGAATATTCCAGGCACAACCATGCTTTAATAAATCGGCTGCTTTAGTGAAGCTAGCCCAGGTAAAGGAACTTCCCTTGACCGGTTTTAGAATCTCTAGATTTTGCCGATTCCCTCCATACTTGTTTCGAACTAGTTGCACCCATAAGTTTTCCTTTTCTTGCATGATACGCCACCCGCCTTTAGCTAGCATGGATAAGTTCACTTCCCTTGTCGAACGGATGCCAAGCCCCCATTTCTCTTTGGTAAGATAAGTTGCGGCCATCCAACAAGGTGAAGTCTCTTCTTGGCTTCAGTGTCCCCCCAAATAAATCCCCTGTTGACCCGGTCAAGAGTCCTGCAAACATTCAAAGGGAGAAGCTCTGTTTGCATCGGATAAATAGGTATAGAAGCAGAGATAGACTTCACCACAGTAATGCGGGCAGCGAGGGAGAGGTGTCTGGTCTTCCAAGGGGCGAGCTTCTTTTGGATTCTCAACACAAGATCTTGGTATCGAGATTTTGTAACTCGTCCGTTGATTGCCATCACTCCCAGGTAACGTCCCAGATCCACAGTGAGTGGGATCCCAGCTCTAGCAGAAAGACGTCGAGCTCTCCTCCTGACAACGTTAGCCGAGACAAAAATAGCTGACTTGTTATAGTTGACTCTCTGACCCGAACTATGGCAGAACTCGTCCAAACATTGTTTGATTATCCGCACTTGGGAGCTTTCTGCTTCTGCAAAAAGAATGAGATCGTCTGCAAAGAAAAGGTGAGAGATCTCGGGACCCTCTTTGGACAATTTCAAAGGTTTCCAGAGTTTCTCCTGTATAGCCAGATCAATCCCGTGAGAGAGTCTCTCCATGCATAGAACAAAAAGATAAGGCGATAGGGGATCTCCCTGCCTGACTCCTCTAGTCGGAGTAATAGGGGCTGAGAGTTCTCCATTCCACAGCAGTCTCATCCTGTTATGCTCCACACAAAACATGATGCAGTTAATCCACGAGCCGGAGAGACCTACTTCTTTGAGAGTATCCCGCAGAAACTCCTACCTAAGTCGGTCATATGCTTTCTCGAGGTCAATCTTCAACACAGTCCCCCCTCTTTTCCCTTTCTTTTTCCTAAGAGAGTGTAAAACTTCTTGCAAAACAATAATGTTATCTGTGGTCTGGCGCCCAGGGATGAAATTACTCTGCCTCGGAGAAACAAGTTTCCTCATAATGGGTTTGAGCCTGTTGGTAATGGCTTTGGTGATGGCCTTCAAACACACGTTATTCAAAGAGATCGGACGAAGCTGAGAGACCATTTCCGGCTGTTCCACCTTGGGTATGAGCACCACTGTAGATTCCACCACTTCTTCCGGCAACTCACCTGAGGAAAAGAAGCTAAGGGCCAAATCACACAAAGCCTTACCGACCACCTGCCACGATTTCTGGTAGAAGATGGCTTGAAATCCATCCGGTCCAGGTGCTTGAAAAGGTTTCATGTCATGAACCGCTCCATGGATGTCCGCCTCAGTGAAAGGTCGCAAAAGCAAGAGAAGATCTTCCTGCTGCATCCTCGGAAAGGCTTGTTTGGGCATCTCATCGGTGTATTCCTGGTCATCCTACAAGTACAGAAGGGAGAAAAAATAAAAAACCAGAGCTGCCAGCTCCCGGGGATCAGAAATCCAAACTCTCGAGCTGTTCTTCAAGCACTCTATTCTGTTTCTTCGTATTCTGATGATCGATTGCTGGTAGAAGTATGCCGTGTTATGCTCGCCGAATTTCACCCACTTCTCCCTAGCCCTTTGGAACCACAGGATCTCTTCTTGCTCCAAAACCTCATCTAGCTCTTTCTCTAATTTCGTTTGCAGTTTGAACAGTCCCGGGGAGAACTCATTTGCCACCCTAGCTTGAATGCCATCGATACGCCTGAGAAGTCTCCTCTTCTTTTGTAGAACATTGCCAAAGGTAGATCTGTTCCACTCAGCTAGCTTCTCCGCCGCTTTCTTCAGAGCCTCATGAAGTGGTGCTTGCGAGTCCCAGCTGGTGGATAGGAAATCAACATAAGTTTCATGAGTTAACCAAGCACCCTCAAAACGAAAAGGACGAGAAGGGGATGAGTGAACTCCCTGAATTCCTGTCGAGGTTAATATGGGGTGATGATCGGAGTGGAGGCGAGGCAGGTGGAGAACCGACATGTTGGGGAAGCTGTCATTCCATGACGAGTTGCATAAGCTCCGATCGATCCTACTGGCTTTATAGGAGTCAGGGTGTTCTCCTCTGGTCCAGGTGAAGCGCAGTTCTGAGTAACCAAGGTCAATGAACTCAACCTGATCGATCCTCTCATTGAAACGTTGGCAGCGGCGAAAGGTGGCATTCGTAACTATGCCCGCTTGCTCCAAAGGGGTACGGATGGCATTAAAATCCCCAGTGAGGAGCCAAGGAAGGTCAAACTCCTCTCTGGTGTTCTCGATGGCCTGCCATAAAAACCGTTGCAAATCCTGCTTAGGGCTCGCATAGACTGCTGTCAGGAGCCAGGGTGGCGTAGCCGTGCCCGTGACTCTCACCGTGAGGTGCTGAAAGCAGGCTGAGATCAATTCAATGGTGAAGACTTTCGCGTCCCAACAGAGCCAAATTCCACCTCTCCTTCCATCCGCCTCAACCCTCATAATGTTCGGAAACCCCATCTTTCCACAGACTCTATCCGCCACCTCCCCACTGATCTGCGATTCCGAAAGAATCAAAAAGTCAGGTTTATGATTAAGGACAATGAGCTTCAAAGCTCTGATGAAGGCACTGTTGCCAGCACCTCCAACATTCCACGAGAGAAAGGAAGGACTGCAATTAGAGAAACCAGACATTAAAAGCAAAAAAAGGAAGGAAGACGAGGAGAGGAGAAACGAAAGAGGGTCAGCCAGGGCTAGGTAGCTGCTGCCGGGCTAGCTAAGTCTGCCACCGCGATCCGAGCATCCTCCTTTGGCAGACCCGACATCCCTCCCACTTCTTGTCCCGATTGCCCAGCACTCGTCCAAGCCGTGATTTCCTCGAGGGTCAAGGACGCCATTTTTTCTCTAGCCTTTGACTTCCTTTCCTTGACCGGAGTCCAGACTTGGAGAGCCTTCGTCGCCACCTTCATCGGAGACTTGTGAGGCGACTTCGACTTCTTTTTGTTTTGGGTGCTGCGGTTTTTGGTCCGGGTTGTCTCCGAAGGAGCCGCGACGCTAGCAGCCGACTCTTTTTGCATCTCCAGAGTTGGGACGTTCACAATCTGAATGTTCGTGTCATTCGGGCCTGTCAGCTGTGTAGTGGGCGGCGGGTTTGCAAGAGAGGTGTGACCAATGGGCTTTGGTTTACTAGAGCCCCCACTCGGCCCGCTTCCACTAGAGTTAGGATTAGATCCAGCCTCCTTGTTCCGGGACAAGCCTGTCTCCTTATTGAGCCCGGTAAAAAGCCCAACCCTCACAGACGGAATGGGCCCAAGAATTCCCCTTCCACCCGTCGCCACTTCCACCATATCTTTCCCAGAACTTTCCTTCCCATTCCGCTGACCATTATCATTAGACCTTCCTTTTTCATGAGCCCCACTCCGCAACGTCTCTCCCTGTTTAGCAGTTTCATTTTGTCCTCCCTTCTTTCCGTTCTGTATGCGCGTACTTTCCTTTCTTAGGCCTTCCATTCCCGGCAGCCTCTCCCTGAATGACGTTAGAGTTTCCTTTCTCGGCCTTCCTGTTGTTTCGCCGGGATCATCGTGTCACTTGCATCCAAGGCCCAAATCTGGCCTTGTCCTCCTACGGTGTCTCTATCCCGTTTTTCGGCGGCCTCGGAGACGTTTCGGACTGGGAAAGTTGAGCCTTCGCCATCAGGAGGGACACGTCAGAGACGTGTGGCCAATTTTACCACACTCAAAGCAACATGTTGGCAGATTTTCGTATTCGATATATTGCCACTTTCCGTCCAGCCGGATACGCGTGACCAAAGGTTTGGAGAGGTCGAGCTCCACAGCTATCCGTGCAAACTTCGCACGTTGTTGGTGTTGTGTGTGGAAATCAAGCTTGATTTCCCGACCGATCATGTTCCCTAGCGTTAACAAAATTTCTTTGTGGTAAAAATGCACCGGGAAAGCTGGGAGTTGAATCGACACCACCATGGACTTTGGCATAGCATCCGACAGACAAAATTCCGGTGTCCATTGAAAAACGACCAGGTAATGGTCAAAGATGACCCAGGGCCCTTCCGTTAAGGCCCGAAAGTAATCAGAATCGTTGCTAAGCTTGATTAAGAAACACTCCTGGCCTAATGCCATGATCTCGATTGCTCCCGTCGGACGCCAGAGGCTTTTGATCCTGTTGCTGAAAGCTACAAAAGAGATAATCAGGCCTAGAACCCGAACTACGAGAGTGCGTTGCCAGGAGACACATAACCTTTCCTTGAAAACATTCGAGATCCTCAGTTCCGGTTCCCCATTGTAGCTACCTCTGATTAGGTCGTGCTCGCCAGCAGGGGTCCAGGCAACCTTGATCTGAGTTGTCTCCGTGGCCGTCCCCATCACCGCATTTGCATACGAGAGAGGTTGGGTAGCCAGCTGATGGCTCGAGGAGATCTCCTGCTGCCTCGGGGCCTCAGACATAGTTGCCTCTGTCATCACTACTGAGCAATCAGATTCCTTGACGGAGGTTAACGCCGCGGACATGGACGTATCGCCTCCGCTCATCATAGCTTGGCCAGGATCCGGCGGTCTGTCTGAGTGATTCAGGTCAGTCGCCGGCGAGTGATTCTGGGAGTCCATTCAGAGCAAAGAAAAAGGTCAAATGATTCCCATTGTATTGTTATGTGGTAAATGAATATGCAATTGCATTGATATAGATGATAATTGCATCTTTGCAAGCTTGCATATAATGCAATTATGGAATGCAAGCCACATCATCTTTTTTATTATTAAATTATTCATTAATTTTATTATTTGAGTGTTTATGTTTTAATAAATTAAATTAAATTAAAAAAATTAGTTGCAATTGCAAGTTAATTGCATTGATGTGGTGCAATGCAAGTAAGATGAGTTGGATTGCAAAAAAAAAAAAAAAAGAAGTAACAATAAAAAAAAATGCAATTGCAAATATTATTGCACCAATGGAGATGCTCTTAGGCCTTAGATTTGAATATATTAATTTGGTAGAAAAATGGAATTTTTTTTAATTAATGAGTAAGGTAGTTATGATATTATGGCTTTTATTTATGATTTTATTTTATTTATATTTTTTCTCTCCTACCATTACTTTAGGCGTTACCAGAGACGGAGCCAACATTAGGAGGAGGGGCCATCGCCCGCCCTAAAATTTAGAATTTTTATGTATGTAACACTAACTCATAAATGTGGATGTAGTCTGGTAGTTTGTTCGTGTTGTTTGAAGAGGAAAGTTAGGAGTTCGATGCTGGGAGGCAATTCAACTATGTATTTTCATTTTAGAGTTTTGCTATCTTATCCCAATAATGACTAGTCTTGCAATTTGAAACCTCAAGTTTTAAAATCATTCTTTCTGTTTTCTTATGTTTGTAATTCATACAATGTTTGAATTGTAAATCATTTCTAATTGTCTTCTACCAGTTAAAATTCAGCTACATATATAATTCAAGTTGAGAGATATATATTATAATATAGGTTTTAATTTAAAATATATGATGGCATATCTTATCCCAAAAGTTACAAGTCTTACAAGCAATACCAAAATGTTTTTATTTGAGGGCATCTTTTCCTCTTATTTATATTTTCATCCTTAATTTTCTAAAATTTTGAGATTTAGATTATGACCGGTAATTGAAGTTCTTCTTCACCAATGCCTCCATTCTTTATTGATAATTGAATTCCTCTTCTTGTTTTTTTTTTTAATTCATTTGGATGAAATGATGTTTGAGTTACATATTATGTTTAACTACATTCCACTAATTATAATTACACTATGTACGTAGTTCATGTTGAAGGAGAATTATTGTAGTAACTATTTAATGTAAATTGTATTTTGGATGATTTTAAAAATATTAAAGAAAATATAAAATTAAATTTTAATAAGTCGCAGATTTTTTTTGGGTGAGAATAAGTCGTAGATTTTAATATTAAATTACTTTACGTCTAAATATTTTTTTACTGTCCCCCCCCCCCTAAAATTCTTGGTTCGTCCCTGCCTCCCTGGGCGTTCCCCTTTCTTTTCTTTACCAGTCCTCTTTCTTTGTTTTTTACCTTATTCATGTTTTAATCACACAAGATTATAAAGTCTCACACAAAATATACAAAGCAGAATGGAAAAATATACAAACTATAAATGCAATGTATACAAAGCAGAATGGAAAAATATACAAACTATAGATGCAATTTATACAAACCATATAATAAATTCATACGAACAAATAATAGATGATATACAAATTATGATATAAAAAGTGTACAAATCATATCATCAAAAATATACAAAAAATATTACACGTATACAAAATATATCATGAAAAATATGCAAACTGTTTGAGCCTTGATGCCTCGTCACCGAACCCGCTCCTTTATCTATAGGCGCCTGCCTACACACAAGAACACAGAGGGGGGCGCCTGGGCTCATTAGCCCTCCGACGATCAAGTCAGTTTTCTTTCTAGAGAGAGAAGTGCGTAGTAAGTGAGTTTAGTAAGAGAGTCTAACATGTGTAAATGCTACCAACTGCCCCTATTTATACTCACCCAACTCGAGGTTGATCTCCTCCACGTCATCGTCGCATTTAATTCCTTATACCTTCATTCATGTCAGATGCCTCAACCACCTTGTCAGGCTTTTGACGACTGACAGGCGCCTGCAGGTGGGGTGCTTGACAACTTGGATTTCTCTGGAGCTATCATTGTTTTGTCTCCACGCGCCTCTCCTCCCTGTTTGACATGAGCTGCAGAGGCCCATTTATGGGCTTCTTCTACTGGACAACCCATACCTGTCTCATTGGGCTTCGTTGGGGCCCTTCTTTGTAATGCCCCCCTCCCCCAACAATTGCCCCCCAGTTAGGCACTCATGGCCCCTTATTTGAGTGCCTAACTATTCCTCTTGACACGACGCCTCATCCTTGTCGTGACTTCTTTTCCTGGCGGACGCTCAATCGCCCTTATTATGTCTAACCAAGAGGTGCGTCCACCTTTTGCCATCCTCCCTCGTTCGTCTCATGCCCAGGCGCTTATTTCCGCGATCAAACCCCCTTGGATACATGCCCCCCTCTCTGGGGGCGCCTTGAACCTTAGCCGTTAATCACCACTCGCATTACGACACGACGCCTTTTTGCGCGATCAAACATTTTCGGACATATGCTTTGGGAGGCGCCTCCATCCTTCCTTGGATCTCCTAGTTTCTTTCGTGTTTCGGGCACTTGCATGCTTCTCATTCCCAAATATTTCCTCTCCCTTTGTTGCCTCTCCTAGTTTCTTTTGTGTTCTGGGCGCCTGCGAGCTCCTCTTTCGTTTGGACGCCTGTGTGCTCCCCTCGCACCACCACACGGGCGGAGGTTTGAGACAGAGCCTAAACATTTTTATTTTAAATTCGATAATTGGGACTTATTTTGAAATTCATATTTCCGTTTGAAATTTAAAATGAGGGGAAACTCAAACGTCCGCCCGTGATGCTGACACGTGGCGGGTGGCGCGGACATCGATGTGCGCTCCTCCTCCCTTTAAATACCTCCTGCCTCCTCAGCCCTCCTCATTCTTCACAATCCCCTCTCTCTCTAACTTCTCTCTAGTTTTTGCCACCGCCATTGTTGTCCTCACTTACCCCAACAAGCACATGGCTTCTTCGCAAGATAAGGCTACCGGCGCAGGCGCCTTTGGTGCAGGCGGCACCCCCAATCGCCCCTCCAACTCTGGTAAATGCTTCGCTCGGACCTTCTTCTTCTTTATGGGCTTCTTTTAGATTTTTCTATACCTAGGCGTGGGCGAGACTCTTACCCCGACTCGCAATTGTACGCCTTGTTCGATTTTTGGTTTAGAGAGGGCGCCTGAATCTGCTGGACCATCAAGCTCCTCTACTTTGGGATTCATGCCTGCTTATGGTTCGTATAAGCTCACTACTTGGGAGAAGACGTTTCCCCCGGATCATTTGCCGACCGAGACTATGGGGTTGCCGTTCGACGTGGCTGGGCTGGATCACCAGTCAACAGTGACCTTGGCACGAGTGCACGAACTAGTGACCAACATTCAACTTCTGCGCGACTGGTGGTACGCTCCCCCTTCGCCCATCTCCAGGATTGGTGTGTGCGGCCCCAAGTGGATCGGCATCTACCAAGAGTATTTTAGATTCAGGTTGCGCTTTCCCATAGACCCCATCTTAGAGGGGATTTTGGCGATGTGCGGGTGCTCGTTGGGGCGCCTGTCTCCTTCGGTCATGGTGGTGGTGGTGTTGTTCAAGCTGAAGTGTAGAGTGCACGACGTGAGGCCCACCTTCAACCTCTTCATATATTTCTTTAATGTGGTGGCTCTTGACAACTGCCACTCCCTACAGAAGCGCTCGAAGCTTCCCTACCACTTCCTGGTTAGGTGCCCCAAGTTGGGGCGGAGTTGGTTCAACGGATTCTTCTTCATGAAAGTCTACTAGGACTCCTTTTTCGAAAGTGGGGGCGCCTTTCTGAGGGAGTGGGCGTTGGGTAGCATTGATGCCTTTAATACGAAGGTTTATCTTTCATCAGACGAAACCAAAGGCGCCCAACTCATTAGCACACATCCAATAAACCTACGCATCACTGCTAATCGTGCTCCTGTTTTGGAGAAGTATTATAACGATGGTGTGTGGGGCGCCTTTAGTGATTGCTCCAGCTTTCCCTTAATCATTTGTTCTAATCCTAGTGTTTGTGTGCAGGATCAGACTTCTCTTTCATTGGGAAGCTGATGAAGAGTCGGCTGGCTATGATGGCAGAAAAGAAAGTCCAACACAAGGCGGACCCCTCCAAGGCTCCCGCCCGTGCCAAGACTACAAGTGTGGCGTCTTCTGCTCCTAAGCCAGACGCCGGTGAGCCCGCCTTCGACCCTACCACTCGTGATGAGGAATCGGAGGAGGAGGATCCTCCTCTGGTTCGCTGTGAGAAGAGTGCAGGCTCTCCCCTGCCCCATGGCGGCAAGAAGGCTCGTGAGAGAGACTG